GCTTTAAATTATCTTTCATTTTCTACTCAATAATTACAAAGGTATGCAAAGGCCCGGTATACGCACAAAAAATAAACAACCGTATTTCCACGTGATAAGATAAAAATTTATTTGATTCTAAGATGAATCAATTACATTGGAATCATTGTTGTGAAACCGGTTTCTGCCCTGCCTCGAAGATTGATTGGGTTAAGGATGGCTTCTGAGTGTAAATTATTAGGGCCGTTTCAAAAAGAACGATTTGGTTCAAAAGAATTATGTTGATATAGCTTGTGTAAAATTTCTCTAAACCGCAGTGAGATTTGATTTTCTTCGTATTTAATTTGCGCAACTGAGGAACCGCGTCTACGTCAAGGAGAAGATGAAATAGCCTCTCAAAGCTATCAGCATAGGAAGGAAAAAAAAAGAAAGAGGAATCACAGGATTTTCAAGGTGTGTGGCGCATTTACGTTGTAGATGTCTATGGGCTTCAGTAACCACTTAACATCGAGTGGGCTGTGAGCTCGTCCACACAACTAAGCAATAAAAAAAAACATACGATTCTGAATCATTTAGTTGCGGTTAATTAACTAGGACAATGTGATTAAAACTATATAACTTTTATTTAACCTTACAAACACCTTAGTTGTCCGTACCTACGAGAATCGTAAAATATTCAAAACGTTTGAAATAATATTGTGGCAGTAAAAAACGAGAGAGTTTTAAATATTTCTATAACTCGCAAAATCCAAAGAAATTACTATATGACAGTGTGTCAAAATATTTTGCAGGATTATAATTATTAATTACATACACATATTACATATATAAAGTATCACTGCACAATGTGATCTATGGGATTAAAGTAAAGAAATTTAAAAAATAAATAACGATTTTCTTCTAACGCAGCGAAAATTTACGTAACTTGGAGTTTTTCCGCGTAAAGTTGATGGGGTTCCAGCCGGCGTTGCTTACTTTGAATTCAATCCCGTGTTTCGACTTTTATGGAGGCAATATATTGTGTGTGAAGAACAAACTGTCGGGGTTCAGGGACTAATAGAATATTCTGTATTTTTATTTTTTAAGTTCAAATGAGATACAAATTTTCTTTCCCTGGGGTAAATACGTATTAAACTTACTTTGAGTTAGGAGTTCAAGATTACTACTCGTACTTTTACAAGAAACACGTAATCTATCCTATGTTAAGAAAAATAAGTATTTATGGTTCACTATTTTGGCGATAATGCCTTACACATAAAAGCTAGGTATAATATGCTCTTGCAGGCTTTTTTTTTGGCTTTTTTGTAAACATTTTCATTATACATTATATATAACTCCAACGGTTTTTGCGACGCACGCCAGAATAGCTCGCAGATGGCAGATTTTTTCCTATTTACTTGACAACAAACATACATACATCCATACATTCTTACAAATTTTCGCGTTTATAATATTAGTAGGATTGAATTTAAAAGTCGATGTGTGTGTGTATGTATGTTCCCTATTGTCTGAGGCAAGTTTGGTAGCGATCTGATCAGTCAAATCAAAGATTTACTAACAAAGCGGACCGGTTTGATTACTATTAAATACATTAGGAATTAAGATAAGTTCAGCTATTTTATTTCGAAAAACCTCCAAATGCTAATATATTACGTTTGATGTTGCCACGTATATATCACTACATATAGTATATAGCCCCTTGGCTAGGTGGCGCGATGACCTCCGCACGGTGGCCGGCAAGAAGTGGATGAGGAGAGCCGCAGACCGGGCTCAGTGGTGTGGATTGGGAGAGGCCTATGTCCAGCAGTGGACGACTGTGGGCTGTTGATGATGATGATGATGATGATGATGATAGTATATATCATGTTATCATTCCGAATTTCTTAACAAAAACAAAGTGATTTATATCTACCGATACCGATAATTTGAAATAATCCAACTAAAAGTTATGTATAACAAATTTTCGACAAAAATAACATTGTGTATTTCTAACCTAACCAACACAAATAAATGCGGTATAGAACGTAAATACATAGCCAACGTGGTTATAACAACAAAAGCAATTTACCGTGACGACGAATAAATCCGAAATCTGTTTGTCCTTCATCAGATCGAACCAAACAAGAGAAAAATCATTTCAAAACTCGGTTAGTTTTGTAAACTTTTAAATTATTCTGTTCACTTAGAACGTTCTTGACTTTTATAGTCGCAGTCCAATGAATGGGTCGTGTATCGAATATCTATAAATCTATGAATGAAACTTTGAATTTGATATATATCGCGTGATATTACAAACAAAGAAATTTTCCATATCTAACGACTCCAAGTTGGAGTTTTCTGCTTTTTTCTTCTAACGTTGCTAGATGAGTGAGGTCACGGCCAGACCTTTGACGAGCCACTGATACTTTCATTGACTACTATTTTATTTATACAATGTAATGAAAATGTTGTTTATTTAAATTTAGAACAAAAATGTCTTATGTCAAATCAACAAACAAAATTGTGTGTGCGTATCGATGTAAAATATAAACTTAACAAGAATGCAAGGTGTGTAACTGAAGCTATCAATGTGATTCCTGTTATTGTTACTGTTGTAAAATATGTGTTATGTTCTATGAGGTTCTATTGCAGTTTTATTGTAAGTAGAATAAGCGATGAAATTCAATACACTTTTACCGATTTTTTAATTTTTTTATTTATTACACTTCATGTAAAATTTACATTGGCGGACTTCATGCCTAAGGCATTCTCTACCAGTCAACCAAAGGTAGTGCAGAGTGGATAGTGGTAGGTGCAATGAAATTTATATTAAGTTACAAAAAGTATATACATACATACATAATAATATATAAATATATACATACATACATACATCCATACATACATAAATACATACATACACACATACATATATACATGTAATGTGTTTTGTAATGAAACAAAGAACCAAGTTGTTGCTCTGCAAAGAGTTTTTTATTATTATTATTTTATTAACTTATTTCTACACTTACAATTATTATAATTATTTTCGAACCTGCAAAGAGAAACAACATTGAAAGATATTGCTTCACCCTTTTTTAAATCTGCAAGTTTTTTTTAATATATTAAGAAAGCACGTTATATTTTTGAATGTCTGAAGCCAGAGAGCAAATCCAATTATGGAATGAACATAGCTTCCACCACAGATAATATTATTATGATAGTGGTGGAAGCTAATGCGCGGGAAATTTAAATGTAATTAATGAAGGGCCAAGAGAGCTTCATTTACATACATATAATAGTTATTTAGATTTTATCTTTCGTTTGTTATATCGTTAGGCATGTTCTTAATCATGTCCATGATTCGTAAAATATCTATTTCTGCAGTACTGTCTGGCAACAGTTTTAGTTAAAGTTGCTCGCAACCCGTCTGTTCCCCTTGAAACTGTTATTTACGGACTTAACGGTGTCTGCCCATCGATTTTATCCACCTTTCCTACTTCCCGTGGAAATAGGAGTTACTTATTAAGTTTTAAGATGTATTTTTGTGAAATTTCCTATAAAATCTATATTTGATATTGGAACGTTTTTCATTTTTAGCGAAAATAGAAAGACCAGTGCATGGTTCACCATATTGAGACACGAGGCCCAAGTCTGGGTGGCATTTGAATTAAGGTTATCAGAACCTTGAAACAGGAAAGATTGATTGCTTTCCAATAGAATGAGATAGATCGGGGACATCGCTCCTGTTGGATTAATAATATATGTACGCCAGTAATTTACGATTCGGTAGCCTACCATTTTGTTTCCTTACCCCTGACTAATATAGTCTCGAGTACTGACTTTATAATATCATATGTAGCTTAATGTGATTTTCCCAGAAATGTTGTCATAACCGGTTCTGAAACGCTACGGATATATTTTAGTATTTAATGCAAAGAGCACAGATATAATGACGATATTTATATGAATGATCGGGTCAATTATCCGATGAACCTTGAGCCAAGTGCAGGAATAGAACTTCCATTAAAAGATTACTTCCTTCGCCTACGTCTGTTACTTCAGGTAGTTTTCGCACGTCGGTCCCAGAGCACGATTCCGACTAATCAAATCCTTGTGAAATGCAACCAGACAAACTTTGGATGTGATTCGAATTTCGGAAATTGGTAATTAAAATATTGAAATTTATTTGTCTTTAAAATTATGAGAACGGTCGATTTGTTCTTTGTCGCCTCGCCTATTTAGGTATTTTAAATAGGACATTGACCACTGCCCGTGAACATGTCTTCTTACATTTCTTTTGTTTCTTTACGAATCACACCTGTCATGTGTATCTCTTAAATTATGTCCAGTTAATATAGGTTTTATGTCCTGTTAAACGCCACGACATTATGAATAAGTTAATAATATTTTTCGTGAATATTGGTACTGTCGACTTTTTAGCGGGAACGCGAGGAGTGAATTTGTGTGATTTGTTTTATTTTGTCTTTTTAGTGTTTTTTTCAGGTTTAAATGTGTAATAATGGTGGTTTATTAACTGTTTAATATCGCTGAAAGTGCACAAATGTGGGAAAATGAAACAAAGCCGCTGAACGTAACTTCTGGGAATCCTCCAAAAATTCCACAGAAAAAGTCTCAGTAAATGACCACCATTTTATTGAGATTATATTTCATCCCATATTATCTCATCTTATTTCATTTCATGCCAATTGATTAAGTTTTCTTCGTTTTTTTATTATTCATAAACTGTAAATAGGTACGTAATAAAAACGGCAATTTATAAAAATCTTATTACTTGACGCTGGCTAATGCATAAACCGTGCCGGATCCAAAAACTAAGAAGGAGAAAAAGAAGTAGTACTCTCATCCAATGCTACAAGACGACTTTTAAGCCTACAAAGATAAGTTTTGGCGTAATGAATTAATTCAGCTACAATTCATTTTAAGACTTCTCCAAAAATCACGATTTACACTATAAAGACATTGTGACATGCACAAATTCTTCAACGCCAATACCGATTTAAGGCTTAAGAAAAACTTACGGTCCTTGGTATCCTTCGGCGCCGCTCCGCTTCCCGCCACCAAAGCACCAAGAACGAACACAGTGATCACCTGTAACGCCATATCTGCACTACATACATTAATCTGGATAAATGGCCTTATATACAGTTGACCGTGACCACCTACTGACCGTCGTTAGCGTCGTCACGACCTTGCCAGTTGAATTAGCGGCGGTACCATATGATTGTCAATGAGATTAATCCCATTGTACGGGATACGTCCTGTGGATGGACCTTTGTTTTAGAGTCCTTCACTTTTGTTTATGTTTCGTTTTAATGAAAAAAGTTCTGTTCTGTCGTTTGCTCTTGTCAGAATTAGAATGTGTAGGCACGTGTGTGGTGGGATTGACAAATGAAAATGCAGATGATAAATTCGCTGTGTAGGGGTGTTGAGCAGTGGACTGGTTAGATCAAAATAGTTTTCGAGAGGTCGTGTAATGAATGAATGTATGTCTGAGAATTTAAGCGGAATGCTTTAAAGTATGAAGCTAACGACATCGTTTTTTTTCCCCTACCTATGCTGATAGCCTTGAGAGGCTATTTCAGCTTCGCCCTAACGTGTAGGTGAGCTCACGGGGCTCAAACCGTAGTGTTGCTAACACTGGCCCTAGCAAGAGCAGTGCTTCGCAGAATCTACCACCAGTCGGAAACGCGATCCACTGAGAAGATCCGGCGAGAAACTCAGTGGACTGTGTCTGTGGGTTAATTCGCTCGTCGAGCCCTTCGTCGCAAGCGATGGGATCGACGCGGATGGTGACCGGTCCCGTGATACTATATGACACCCACGATCGCACTAAAAAATAATGAAACAACTTATTTTTGTCTTTGTTTTTGACATTTATGTACTCATTTATTTAACAAACAAAATAAAAACGATAACATCGAAATCCTATTATTTTTTTCTCTAAACTCATTTGCATGTGACAAACCTCCAACCATTTAAGCCATTTTCAGATAACTTCAAATAACGTACGAATTAAAAGTTACGTGAATCGTCTTAATCAAACACATTTGCTCCAAGTTTTAATTAAAAACGTTTATTTACCGAATTCCAACTGCATTTGTACACGTTTCGCATTAAATTACCGAGACCGGCCGGTGGGGTAGTAGGAATAATATACGTAGGTATAGTAGGTATAGGGTAATGCTGAGCTCGTCCAGCCGAATCGATACAGATGCGTCTTTCGTTACTACTGTTGTGAGGGAATGACAGCCCCTAAGTGCAGCACCCCGCTACGACGCAAATGCCATGTAAAGCGCTTTACGCTGAATTGTTTAAATACATTCATTAGGGAAGCTACTTCAATAAACCTGTTTAGCAGACCGCTTTTCCTATTGCTATACTATAATAATATTATAAAGAGGAAAGCTTTGTTTGTTTGTTTGTATTGAATAGGCTCCGAAACTACTGATCCGATTTGAAAAATTCTTTCACTGTTTGGAAGCTACACTATTTCCGAGTGACATAGGCTATAATTTTCTTTGATAATAATGAGGGATCCTTACTAAAACTCTAATAATGTAACCCAAGGTGTAAAAAAACTACCTAAAATATTCTTTACATCGCGTGCCTGCGAAAACTATTCATGATAGAATAAAATAATGTACTACGACTTTGTAGAACACAATATTATTTACAAAAAGTGTCGCGACCGCATATGTTTAACTATTATAGTTATTCCGCAAGAAGTGTTCTTTTATTTAAAAAAAATAAAAGAACGTCAAATATCGTTGAAATTTTTGTTAAAGACCCGAGCGGAGCCGGAGCGGGCCGCTAGCAGTTAAGTTGTTAGCGGATAGTTTGCAGAGAGGAAACGGTTGCATTCTCTTACAACGTCGTTCTTATCGGAGAAAAGTAGAAACACTTCTTTTTGTTACATTGTAGAAGTGAACAACCGTTAGTTACGGTTTATCATTAAACCCGGGTATTACCTGATCTGGAATTACATTTAATTTTTGACGTGACAACGTCTTATAATTCGATGCAGCCGGCTGCACGCATGAAAAAACATGACTCATGCGGCATCTCGCTCTGAGGCGTTCCATTTAAGGCTTGAAGAGCAAGCGAGAGCGCGCAACGAGCGACTAAGAGGCACAATCGGCCTCCGCGTTCGGCAACTTTCGACATTTGTCTCTCTCCTACTTAAGTGAGCGATACATCCGCGTAGACAGCTGCTATACAATAATACATTTATATGTTTCCGTGAAGTATGAAGTTCAGTGAAAAGTGAATGTGGTGTCAATATTGTCCATACAAAATATCCATCAAACAAATAAAATTAAAATTTTCTTTTGAAAAATGAAACCATTCCATCTGTATTTTCTTATGACGTTGTCACGTTCAACTATCGCCAGTAAACCGACTTTACAGACAACCGATTTTTTTTTATTTCAGTACTCGGTAGTACCCTGAATAACGGCTGTATCCTCCGATCCTAATTAATTTTTGTTTACGGCCGACTGCGGCGTTTACCCGTAAACTTGCTCCATAATTCTGTCGTACCCCGGAAACTCTTTACAAGTTTAACTCCGTGTTTTCAGTGAACTCCCCGATGAGTTTTTGTACGTTTTTATGAGCCCGTATCCCGGAGTGAAGGAATAAATGTATGAACGTCGACATAAACTTAATCCGTACTAGATCGGCACCAGCCAAGGCGTAACCCGAGAGTATGGGTTTCTGATCTACACTACATATTGTTATATAGCTCTCTATGTATTCTATGCTCAAAATTTTAAAAATAAATTAATTTGAAAATTGGAAAAATTTAGTGGGCATTGAATTATTTGAATTAAAGTTTTTTTTTACTTTTATGTATCTGTGCTTGGGTAGTTGAGCTCCACGGACACCATAGATATCGCTTGACATCAAGCCAGAGTCTCTTCTTTATGGTAATGACAGCTATAAATTCTTTTTAGGAAAGTATTTTTAATTTTGTTTTTGTTTAATGGATCCATTAATGGTATAGTTTTTATAATGCAGCCGTTACCTAACATCTGAAGAGTTGGTAGCGTTTTCTTTTCGATATTTAATAGCTAAAGTTCCTTGTGCATTAATTGCAAGTGATGTGGGTGTATCAGGTTTCGAATTCTGCAGGCCATCATTGTAAATAAATGTGTATTCTAAAACGTGTTTACGAATGAATTCTAAGAAGAAGGATACATTTTTTGTGAAATGAAAATCGAAGTTGTCAAAATTTACGAGCCTAAATTATTACGAATGAAATATTATCCTGCATATTCCTGCCTCCAAGCAATCATTCCGGTCCGATGGGTGGGAAGACCGTTATAACATACGATACAGTTGAGAATCCGACATCGGATCTCAAGGTAGTGTCGGAATTCGCGTTGTAAAATCTATGGGTTAATCAATTTAAAAACTGAACAATAACACGGTTGTTGACATCAGGTGAGCTAGGCAGCTTCTAGGTAGGTAGGCAACGGCTTGGCTCTGCCCCTGGCGTTGCTGATGTCCTTGGGCGACGGTAACCACTCACCATCAGGTGGGCCGTATGCTCGTTTGCCTACAAGGGCAGTAAAAAATAGCTTAAAACGTGATGCAATCGATTGTAATTATGTATCAGCTTTTTATTGAAATTGAAATAGCTTAATAAATCGTAGCGTTTCTAGTCGAGGCTAATCCTTAAGGCAACGGTTTTCTTTTAGTATCCTGCGGTACATGAATGAGTCACGTTCGGTATGTGAGTACATATCTCGTATGACTCGGTTTATGGGTTTATATTTGCAGGACTATTATGTGAACGCGTTATGACCCTTCAACGTACCCCGCTAGTTAGGATAAGGGTGTATTCGATTCTTCGCGAATCGTATTATTGCCTATTGTAGTCGTATTGTTTAGTTTTTTTTTTTCCGTTGGAATAATAGAACAAAACAGTATTGTAGAAAAATATAGAAATTCAGAATAACTTGAATACAATAGTAAGTAACAATGCTCAGAGCTCAGTCTTAAAATCTACTAAAGTACTTCCAAACTTAGGCGTGTCTTAAATAGGATGCTTAAATTATTTAATACAGTACTAACGAAAAATTGCTTCATTTTGAATGTTTTACGACAGCGATTGTACCTAGTCCTCTAGTTTGTTTACGAATATGTTATAATCTAACGCTTTTTAGTAGGTTCTTTTAGTTTATTTTGTAAATAAAGATTGTGAAAAAAAAACTTTTTGAAAATATCACCCCTAAGGGGCTTAAGATAAGCGATGAATAGTCGTATGAAAGCGCGTTATTTTGGAAGTAAGAAGCACGAAATTTCATACATCTGCTTCTAGTTATGCTCATAGAAATAAACGTACACGTATATTGACGTTTTTTAACAAAATTACCCCTAACACGATGAGTATGGGAAGTTTATCACTTAAAAACATGAATGAAATATTAAATCTTCTCATAAGTAGTAAAAAAATTTTTATTACATATGAATACTGTACTTCCAGTACAAAATAATGATTTTTTCCCTGTGAAAGTCGTCGTGGCCTAAAGGATAAGACGTCCGGTGCGTATTTAGCGATGCAACGGTGTTCGAATCCCGCAGGCGGGTACCAATTTTTCTAATTAAAAATGTACTTAAAAAATGTTCACGATTGACTTCCACGGTAAAGGAATAACATCGTGTAATAAGAATCAAACCCGAAAAATTATAATTTGCGTAATTACTGATGGTGGGATTCTTGTGAGTCCGCACGGGTAGGTATCACTACCCTGCCTATTTCTGTCGTGAAGCAATAATGCGTTTCAGTTTGAAGGGTGGGGCAGACGTTGTAACTATATCCTAGAACTTACATCTCAAAGTGGGTGGTGCATTTACGTTGTAGAGGTCTACGGGCTCCAGTAACCACATAACACCAGATGGGCTGTAAGTTCGTCCACCCATCTAAGCAATAAAAAAAAACTAGGGCGGGTCTGGGCGAATTTAAAAACACTTATTTCACCTTAAATACTTAAATAGTACACTTCCACACAAAAGTTAATACCGTCGAAGCACATCCTCGGTTTATCGCCGTCCGTTAATTCGTCTCAGCGAGATCCAGTGCACATTGCCTAATCCCATTAGCGTCTCCCTCGTGTGCACTCGCTCAAATTGACCCCCCG